AATGATTTATGTTATAATAACAGAAATGTGCTTAAATATCATTTTACATTTATATAACTGCATGTACAATATTTTTACACTTGAATAAACAATAATCAAATGCAGAGAGATTTATTTAACAATATGTTAGGAGTAGTTACATTTATACAGTCTTACAGTTACAACCGGCCCTTTGAGGGCGACCGTGATGCTGATGTGGCCCAGAGTGAAAATGAGTTTGAAACCCCTGCTCTATGTTAACCAAACAAACACACACACAGACACAACAATCCTCCCTGACACTCAAAGCCACACTAGAAAACACACACATTTGTGCATAAAGCAGTACCTTCATGCAAATACTCATCTATGCATACTTGCATACCCTCCCCACACACACACACACACACACACACACATACACACACCTCCACTTAGGTCTCTGCTGGCCTCCTTTCCCAGCCAGTTCTGACAATGCTAATGATTCTCACTGGGGCACAGGATGAAGGGTGACAGAGTCAGCTGGACCAGGGCCGGCTGACGATGGAGGGGAAGGGGGTGTAGATGTGAAATTGGACTGGCGAGGAGTGTGTGTGTGTGTGTGTGTGTGTGTGTGTGTGTGTGTGTGTTAGGCGTGGGGGATAGAAGACGAGGTCAAGGATGGTGGTGCACAGGCCCCTTCTCTGGTGATGTGTCGGGAGAGATTCACTATTCCTGGGCTCAATAGTAATTTATTACATTTAGGACAGGGCCTGACAACCTGAATCAGCCTCCATTCAGATCACATTGGCTGGGCCGGGTAGTGGGAGGATGTGTGCTGAGGAGGGGAGGGAGGGCGAGGTAAACACAAAGAAGGAGAAAGCAGAGAGAGGAGGAAACCGAGAGAGACTACATGGAAATGATATGCGATGAGGAGAGATGTAGCCTGGGGCATTGTGCATGTTTTGCCTGTTTCCTTATAGTTAGTGTATTTATAATTCAAATATATGCCTTTAATAATTCACAGACAGGGCATATCGAAAGAAAGTGTGTAAGATATTTCTGATGGAAAAGAGATCATGCTTGAAATATTCTGCTAGTTTGAATAAAGAAGAAACAGAGGCAACTGATGAAGACACAGGACACTACAGCTGGACTGATGAAGGAAAATAAAAGTCCATGTGGATGATTACATGATTTAATATTTCAACTTGATTGTGATTGTATAACATATTTATATATATTCTTTAATAAATTTCAAATTATTCCAAATAACTTGGACTTGTATTTCATTCTGAAATAGTGGAGTTATTATAGAGTGTATGCATTAATGTTCCGATATTGTCATTATGTCAGATCTGTATCACTTCTAAAGTTAACTTTAAAGGATGGTAAATGGACTTGCATTTGTATAGCCCCTCTCTAGTCTTCTGACCACTCAAAGCACTGTACACACATGTGTACTTTGTTCAGTTATGCTACTGACATTTGGGATGTCTGTGGTGTGTTTTCCTGTTATGTTGATTCCGTTGTTGCCTCAACATAACTGCAACAATTTCAGAGTAACAACGTGGCATTAAATGACACGTGAAAAGCATAAAATGGTAATAATGAAATGCTGAAATGTCTCAAATGTTGTGCTATTTATATGCCTTAGATCAGGTTGGAATATCATTACGACCACACTCTTCTTCACTTCCCTGAGGTCAACAAGCAATGATGTTGCATTTACGTCCTTCCCATTCAAACTGTATGTAGCCCCACTCGCTTTCTGACGTGTATTTTAGATGTGAAAGGGCCTGAAAACACAATTGTATAACGTTGAGCTAGAGCAACAGCCTGTAAAGCCAGTTGCCAACATTACACATATGCTTATGTGTAGTGTTGGTCCATGCTGCAGTATGCTACAAGCTAACATGCTAACACTACAAGCTAACAGCCTAGCCTGCATCATGAGTATCATAACATTATACTTATGGTGCTAATTTATTTATTTATTTATTTATTTATTTATTTATTTATTTATTTATTTATTTATTTTATTTATTTATTTTTTCAGGGACAATGCACACTAATCAACAGTCACACTGTAAGTGAGCCAGAGTTAGCCAGAGAGGCTAATTTCCATCTGCTGTCCCCGGCCAGATGTTTCAAGGCAGCCTAAAATAACAAAATCTCAAATTTCGGTTTGCAATTTTGAAGAAAGAAGTGCAAGTACTTACAAAGTATGTAGTTAGCATGAAGCTAGTTCACTTTGCTCCGCAAGTCTCGGTGCTGAGTGAGTCTCTAGACCGGTGCTACCATCAAAGTAGAAGCAGTCTGAGCTGTGTTACAGCAGTAAGCACACTTTCTTATTTTACTTTAATGGACAAAAGTGTTCCCATTACGATCTCCTGGAAGCTTCTAGTTGGCAGCACACAGTCTATAGTTCTACATGGCATTTTATATAAAACATTAAATATGTTGAAATTACGCCTTTATGCAGACCATTCACCAACCAGTGTAATATGTCTTTGGAGAAATACATTCATAATAAAAGCTGCTGGGCCTGATAACATCCCTGGTCCTGTCTAAGAACATGTACCAACCAGCTAACTGATGTCATCACTGATATGTTCAACAAATCACTTTCAGAGGAGAGTGTTCCTACCTGCTTCAAGACAGCTACCATTGTTCCTGTACCTAAACAGTCTGCAGTTTCCAGGCTAAATGACTACCACCCTGTGGCATGAAGTGCTTTGAGAAACTGGTTCTCCAGCTCATCAAAAACAACATCCCAGCCAGCCTGGATCCTCACCAGTTTGCATACAGAGCCAACAGATCCACAGAGGATGCCGTCTCCACTGCTCTCCACTCAGCCCTCACTCAGCTAGAAAATAACAATACCTACATCAGAATGTTGTTTGTTGATTTCAGCTCCGCATTCAACGAAGTCCCCCGATGAAATTGACTGGTAAACTTAGCACTCTGGCACTTTATTGGTGAGAAGATGAGCCTGCAAAGAGACAATACCCACCCAGCCACAGCCTGCTCACCCTGCTGCCGTACCACCAGACTTCAGAACAGTTTCTTTTCTCTGGCTGTTAAACTCCTAAATTCATCCTCTATTCTCTCATTATGATATTATTTTGCTTTTTTGTGTGTGTTTCTTATAGCAAAATTGGACTACAACTGCATTTCTTTGCGCAACGCTGTGTTGTACAAAAATAGTCAATGAAACCTTGACCATGCAATTGTCTGACTTTGGCGCACAAATCAAGAGAGGAACAATTAGAAATTGGTAGCTGAAACAATTCTCCAAACTGATGCAGTTATCGATCGTTTGTGTCCCCTACTGCAGGTTAAGTAATGAGGAGTCAGTAGTCAATGACGGCATAAAACAGTCAATGAAATAAGTGGACCATCAGTTTCAAATAGTGTAAATCACTGCAAACACGAGAGGTCCTTGAGCATACAGTCATGAATGAGCCAAAAGATATCAGGCTGAGGGGTCCAGCACAATGTGACAGACAGGTTTCGTAGAGAGTTGCATGGAGAGTCTGTGACTTCATGAACAGACTTAAATCACTGAAGGGGGAATAAATAAGAGGCAGCAGACATAAACTATGTAGGTATTTCATAGGTCGATGATTCCATGGCACTCTTACACTCGCCTATCCTTAAGGAAAAGAATACAAAAAGTGACCAAAATTACAATTACAGGTCAAAAACAAAACAACAATGCTCAACATTACTGCTGTTTCCATTATGCTCAAGTGTTTCTGAGAAAGGGCACTAACTCCAGCAGCTCCAGATGTTGACATTTGACCTCTGACCTCCCTAAAGACAGAAAGAAAATAGAACTTTTGTACCATGATAGGTTGTAGTGATAGTTATAGAAGTAGTGTCACTACTATATGAAAATATGTTTTAGCTGTAAACTTTATTTACAAAATGATTTATTCCAAAATGAATATATTCTGACAGTCCATCTGGGCCTCCAACTAAGCTAAAATCCGTTGGTGTCTGGCTCCAGTTCCCGTTTATTCATATGGGGGAGGTTGTCTACAAAATAAAAGCATCAATACTGAACTTTATTGAGAGAATTTAACAGACAGTAGACAAATACATTTTTATCATGTTGGCCTTATATTTGTATTGGCAGTCCATGTCTGACATGATGAGTCTGTGGCTTATTTAATGGATCGATTCAGATCTTTCTAAAACAGTTCAAAAGCTATTTCCTCAATGATCATCTGTTTCCCAAGGCATGCTATTGTTTAAGTGTTTTAAATGAGTGTTTGGTCTTTATTTACAGAGTTTACAGAACTTGCTTCAGTCAGTTAGCTAATCCAAGCACCATGGCCCATCTCTATTGTGGGTCAAATATCTATGTATATAATTATACATAAAACATTTTTTTAAAGTTTGAATTGATTTGAGAAGTCAGCACATTGTTCGTGCAACAATAACATAACCATGTAAATGACATGATCATGTACTAATACATTCAAATAAATGTATGGTCGGAAGGCAGGCAGGCAAAAATACTACATTTAAATCTAACTATGCTTTATAAAACTGTCAGCAGTGGCTAATGTAAAGCACATGTTATTTTTCAATAAATGCGTGAAAAACGCAAATTAACATTATTGCTTTTTTGGTTCAGTAAATGAGCCATTGTATATGTCTGGCATCAGACAAGGGCAGACAAATACAAAGAACACGTGTTCCATGCAATGTATATTTGACGTTATGAATCCACTGAATCAACCCTTTTTGCCGCGGGTTTATTTTGAAAGTAATGACCGGAAAACAACGTTTAACAATAAAGTACCTTGTCAGCAGTCCGGGGCTGGATGCACCCTCCCTGCTCCCCACGTTCCGTTCCGTCATCAGCGTGTCGTGCAGATCCCACAGCAGTCCTATAAGCGGCTCCCTCGCAGACCTGCAGACAGTGAGCGTGTCGCGCAGAGACATGGACACGAGGACACACTGAGTGCAGAGGACTGGCCGCGGACCGTCAGCGCATTCCTGTGAAATGGACTACTGATACCCAGAACTAACATTAGACTCTCACATCTGACAGGTTATTATTTGTCCTCCCGTTGAAGAACCACAGAAAACCAGCTTGCCTGTTGCTAGAGCGTCTTTTGACAACAGAGGACAGAGACTCTTTTTGATCACTTTGCGTAATAATCGATTTGCTCCATGCCACAAAACAGTACAGGATTATAATTCTCTCTTGGATTTAAAAGTCATCGATTTAACTACTCATCAACACCAAACTTGTCTTTAGCGTACACCTCTGGAAATTGCGCACGGAGATGGCGCAAAGGGTAAATCTAATTTGACAAATTATTGTTTAAATTGTGATTAATGAAATTGCACAAAGTTATTATTATAAACGTACATCAACCATATGATGTGAATTTCTAGCAAAGACCTAACTGAGCGTGTGGTTTTATATAATATATGAATGTGCCAGTTTTTACATGAAACCAGGTCTAATGTCTAGTCCCACTAAATACAATAAACACATTGTATTAGTAGTATTCCCCTGTATTCTTGTCCTAATGTCCTCCTCAATTTTCACCCAGTACGACGAGCTGGCTCATTACGGAGGAGCAATGGATGGAGTCGGAATCCCCACGTCCATGTACGGAGACCCGCATGCCCCACGGCCCCTGCCCCAGGTCCACCACCTGAACCATGGGCCGCCCCCGCACCCGACGCAGCACTATGGAGCACACGCGCCGCACAACATCATGCCGAGCAGCATGGGCAGCGCCGTCAACGACGCACTAAAGAGAGACAAGGACCAAATCTACGGGTATAGGCCTATAATAACAATATTATGAATAACCGTTTTATTATTATTATTACTATCATTATTGTGAGCAGATTTGTGTTATGAGGAGATATAAACAAATTGGAGGCCTAAACATGAAAAGGCACAAACGCTCATTTTATTTAAATTAAACAGAGAGCAGAAATTACGGAAAAATCTAGTTATCTCTTTTTTTTAAACCTCAGAACTAATAGGCCAAATCATTTTCGGCGCAGTTTCAAATGTATCTCTGTTTTTTTTTGCTTCTCAAAACGATACTAAATTCCTCAGTTGCCCAGATAACTAATTAAAATCTCTGAACATGTTTGCTTTGGAAACAGATGAAATAATCACACTGCAGCGGCGCAGTTCTCTTGAATTAAGGAGGAATAAATCAATATTTGTCGCAGATTACAAAATGGTATTCTGTTGTTAAACTCACCAAGCTAAATGTGAAATGTTATCTGTCGCTGCTTTGATGTACTGTAGGCAATAGTTCATGTACAGGCCTAACAATGGCTAGAGAACCAAATGGGCCTGTCTCTGCCTGTGTTGCAGCCACCCTTTATTCCCACTGCTGGCTCTGGTGTTCGAGAAGTGCGAGCTGGCGACCTGCACGCCTAGAGAGCCCGGGGTGGCGGGCGGAGATGTCTGCTCCTCCGACTCCTTCAATGAAGACATAGCCGTATTTGCAAAACAGGTATGATCAAATAAGTAATGAAGCCATGTTGGAAGAGAAGCAAGAAAAATAAATCAGCTTGAAAACACCAACTGATGCGTTTCATTTTCGTCCCCTCCTCAGATCCGCGCAGAGAAACCTCTATTTTCTTCCAACCCAGAGCTGGATAACTTGGTGAGCACTTCCTTCCCTTTCTTTCTCACCTTTTTTTCTCATTTAATTCTCAGCTGTTTTATGCGATGTGATGCTGTCCGCCCGCACCGAGGTCCCACACTTGCCCGGGGCAACCTTCCTTTTTGTAATACAAGAACAATATTTGTATTACGTTGGTAATTAGCAAATGCACACAGTCGTTATGATTATGGAACCCTGGGCGTCTCTGAAATCATATTGTTCTCTTATCATGTATTTTCGGGAGGGGTGATTTACAATGTATTTGTTTATAGATGATTCAAGCGATCCAAGTCCTTCGATTTCATCTGCTGGAATTAGAGAAGGTAGGCTGCACAGTATGAATTATGTCTGAGTGACAGATCTAATTGACACATTTACCGACACTGTAATTGTTTATATTAATAAACTATGTTGTGATTATTCTGGTGCTCGGCCCAAACGCGGATAATCTAAATGAAAGGCTGCGTTCGCAGGTTCATGAGCTCTGTGATAACTTCTGCCACCGGTACATCAGCTGCCTAAAGGGCAAAATGCCCATCGACCTGGTCATAGAGGAGCGAGACGTCTGCAAGTCGGATTTCGACGACCTCTCCGGATCCTCTACCAACCTCGCAGATCATGTGAGTCAACCCTCCTGCTTCATAGACAGGATAACTTCAGTGCGAACTGAATCATTATTTTCTCCGGATTTAAGAGAGATGAGATGAGATGAGAGGTGCTTGCAGATGCCTGCTCACCGTGAACTCCTATTATTCCCATTATTAAAAAGTTTGCCTCGTGGTTGTTTACCCACAAGTTGCCAAAAGCTGCTGTATGCTGTAGGCCACTGTTTACCCAACTGGAGTTTGGGACCCAGCGATGTGTCCAATAACTTTGACCAAACTTGTTTTGATAATATTCTGTTTTTTTCAGATTTTTCTCTTATCCTTTCATTTTAGAGTAATATACTGGAGAGTTTTACCTCTTCAGACCTCTAAAACGATTCAATAAAACAATCTGAGAAGAGGAACTTATTTACATATTCAACATGTGAGGAAGGCTAAGCATCATTTTAACAGTCCATCAGGCAAACACGTTGAGAATTGCTGCTTTAGACCAATGCATTCATTGAAATATATTTTCTTTACTGACAATGCACGTGAGTGAATGTGACAGGATGTTAGAGTTAAACTACTTTAGCCTGTTCACAAAAGGCCTTTAAACTGATTAAAGAATATGCATTTGAAAAAACAGATGACAATTTGTCGGGTTTGGTCAGGTTTTGGCGGTGTTGTCTGTTTAATGACATGTCAGCTGGGAGGTTTGCAGTATTTGAGGACATTCAGGGCTTAGCCCTGACCTCTATAGGGGGAATTTCTTTTTTTATAAATAAGCAATATTTGTATGCCTTTTTTATGCACTCTGGCACCTCTATTACATTCAAAGTTCATGTCTTAATCATTGCAAAAATGAAGTGTGTACCTCAAAAACTGTAGCCTACTTTCCAGATGAATTATGAATTGTGATGTTACAAATATTAGTAGTTTGGAGCAATTATAATTATATTGGGTAGAAACAGAATACTTCACTTTCAAACTGTTATCATTGACAAAAAAGTGGTTTATGTTTATGCTAGTTTACCCTTCTAGAGGGAAATATTATCTTTTTACTGCACTTCATTTATCTCACAGCTTTACTTTACATACATTCAGATTAATACTACAGAATATATACAATCACTGTAATACATGCTTATGTATTATTATAGATTAAACTACCCATAAAGTCATCAAAATGAGCTCTACCTTTACCAGCTGCAACATTAAAGTCATGTACACATTAATGCAACATTATTATAACATAATATATATTAGTCTGCATAGTGAGTACTTTTACTTTTAATACTTTAACTTTATTTTGATGCTAATACATTTTACTTCAGTAATATTTTGAATGCAGGACTTTTGCATGTAACAGAATGTTTTAATAAACCGTAGTATTAATACCTTTTCTTACTTACTTCCTGAGTACCTCTCCCACCTCTGAAATATTAAAAGGGAGTTCTTTTAAATAAAATCAACCTACAATTATGATGAAGAGAAATGTAGCCTACTTAATAATATAAATCATACTACATAGAATCACATCTTTCCCTAAACGTCACTCCGTCCTTGTCTTCCAATTTTTGTATTTATTTTTTCCATCTGGATGTGTACACTCTGCCATTTCTCCTCTCTTCCGCTAATAACAATATGGACTGTTGAGATTTGTTATTTAAATGATATTTTGTCTGTAAAGTAGTCTTTTTAACTTTATTTATCTATTGATTTATAAAGAAAAATAGTCAGACGTGATGATGATGATCTAGCACAAAGTGCAGCTGGAAGTGCTGTGTTTGCTGTTGGCCTCAATCAGCCTGGTGTTATCAGCCAATAGGATTTGTATTGCTAGAGTGCAGGGGCTCTTTGTTAGGTGGCCCCCCCTGTTGTGTGTTTTACACAGCCTATTTTTGGCACCTGTGTTCATTTACAAAGAAGCAAATTCAGATGTTGAAGTGATTTAGAGTTACAGTGTAGCAGCAGCAGTGTTGTAATCATGTGTCTATTGACACATCACTACAACAAATCAATTTGGACTGTGTGCAGAGAACAGATTTACTCCTTACTGTGGCTCAGTGTTTAAACAGGGTCGTCCTTCAATCAGAGGGTCGGCGGTTAGATCCCCGGTTCCGCTAGTCCATGTCGATGTCTCCTTGGGCAAGACACTCAACCCAAAATTGCTCCGGTAGCTGTTGCTGCAGTGTATGAATGTTAGATAGTTCTGATGGGCAGGTGGCACCTTGTTTTTCATGTCAGAGAGCACTCAACTATCATTTCCTTTGGATATGATGGAAGCTCCTCCATGAACTGTTGACAGTAAACTGAGCCGTTGTTTTAGTGTTTCAGTGGTGTCCTAATGCATGACCTACACTTAACTTCTCAACCTTTAGGAGCTTGTTGTTTCCATAAATGGGACCCTCAAGAAGCAATATAGTATATATATATATATATATCAATATGAATATATACAGGTTGTAAATAAGTCCTATTTTCTGTATTTACAAATGTGCAACTCATGGGCTCATGAGAAATGTTGTTTAAGTGTTATTTTTTCCTTGCAAAAAATGTATTCATTAAAATATTCACTGGTAATATATACAAAATATGAATAACACAAAATATTGTTGGCCGTGAAAAATATTGGTATTGACTTAATTGATTTCATGAATTGCTCTTGAGAATACAGTTCTTGATACGCTTCCTTCTTAAGCTACAAAACACATTGACGTGTTTGTGTGTGTGTCTGTGTGTGAGGCCACCAGTTGATGTGACAGGACACTCTCCTGCTGTAATGCCTGCTGCATAATGGATGTGCTGCTGTCCTGTGGGTACGAAGACATGCACAGCTGTGTAACGTACATGCATCTTAACCACTGAGTGTACCACAATCTGTTTATCATTCACAAGGGCTAAAAGCAGTTTATGAGTTTAAAGGCATGCTTGTGCCATTTGATTCTTTTTGGTTTGTTGGACTGCTTGTGTTTCTGCATTTCACTGACACTGGGAAGGCTCACGATGGTGGGTTGGACTGAATTTCCTGATTGCTGACCTGATCTATAGAGTCCTAACATTTTATTTCCTCAAAGCAAGAGGACATCTAGCAGTACGATTTTATTCCATCAGGTTCCAATTTTGAACAACTTATTGAGGGACATTTTCCTTTAGCACATTCTAAAGTTAAAAGAAACTGCACTGTGAACATATTTATACATATCTCCATTAGCATCATTAATGAAAAAAAAGTACACCTTACAATTTGAGACCATTCATCACAAAAAACAACTCCAAAACAAGGTTTTCTTTCCTTGTTTATTCTCAAAGGATGAAAACACATCTGAAATAGCATTCAGACCATTATGTAGCGTCTACATTTCAGTTTGGTTCAGTTTCATTGTGAAACTTTTACGATCAGGCGATACTCAAACTAGGCATTTTCCTTTATTGGTGAGTAGAAGTTTGAGAGTCTGAATCAAAATGATGATGTCACTACGTGGTCAGCACTTTGAAAACTTGGGCACTTTGATAGATCTCTTGAACCCAAAATCAATCCCAAAACCTAAAGTCAGTTTTGTAGAATATACCCCCATATGCATCTGTTTCATTTGTGACAGATGTGGCAGGGTGAAAGTTAGACCAATATGTAGCTGAAAAGTTTTACATGTCATATAGTTATACATATCCAGTCAGTCACAGACAGTCTAAATCCTACATAAAGGAATACTAATTCCCAAAATGATCATCTGCATTCATGGTAACCTGTGTTATTTTGAATACTTGAAGACAAGTGTATGTTAACTTGAACTCAAACCTTGCAGAGAGTCATGCATCTGTAGGAAATGGGCTTCTTTGTTACAATAGCCGAGCTGGCAGTTTATTAATGCTTTAATAATGCCCAGTTTGTCCTAATTTTGCTGAACAAACATCCTTCATTCCCTATATTTGCAATGTTTAAGAAAAACATAGAGCTTGTGTACATTTTGCTAATTGTCTTTATCTTATATTTGCTGTTAGTGGTCATTTGGTGTAGGAATTTAACCAGTCTTTACAATGAGTCCTCTGGATAACAGTGAGAGGAAAAGAGCAACTATAAGGTAAACATAAAGAATTCTTTTCATCTGTTTATGATTCTCAGTCTTGGCTGTACACTCCATTCCGGTTAATTGGGTTTTAACAGATGGGGTGGTTGGGAAATGAGACCTTCATTAGCTTGATAAACGCGGAAACACATGGCGCCTCTTTGAATAGCCGTGTGTACTCAGGAGTTGTAATAATTGGGTGACTGGATAAGAAAAGAGGGGCCGTCATTGAGAGGGCTTGTTCACACTGCGCCTTTGTCCCCGCTCTTCTTGTTGTCATCTGCTGAGCTCTTCATCTGATCACCATCCGGCAAACAGCTGACGCAGAGAGGCTGAAGAGGGAGATCTGCTGTTTGGTTTGGCCTTATGGCTGTCTGAGTGGCCAGGCCAATCTGCCCAATAAATACAGGTCTTCTCCCTAACTCAAGTCACAGAAACAGCCAGGACACAGGAGGGTCCACATGCTGCAGGGTTACTGAAGTGTTCTCTAAACTCTTGCTGCTCCTCATTCTGCAACTATATTGAAAGCTCCCTCTTGGTCAGGATGGTAATGTTGTTCTAGACTCATATTTTTTACAACTTGGTTGCTGCCTTACTACGTATGCTAATCATTTCACCCAGCTGTCTTTGTGTCTTTGGGAAACTACATAATGGACCTCATACTGGACCTACCGGACCTTCCTCATCTATTTTTTGCTCTCTTCTCTCTTCTTCTCCTCTGTTTCCTTATCTCCTGTCCCCTGGTGTGCGGCCCTCTCCCTGACCTCTCAGAACCCAGCGTCCTGGAGAGACATGGATGACGCCCACTCCACGCCTTCCGTGGGCACCCCGGGACCGTCCAGTGGGGGACACGTCTCTCATAGTGGTGACAACACCAGTGAACTCGGTAAGAGCACCTACAGGCCTCCTGCGCCCTCTTTCATATCAAAGCTTTGACTTCTCTGTGATCTCTTTCTGAGGCATGGGGACTGCTGCACTGGTGACTCGGGGGGTTGGGGGTTAAAACAGATAATGTAAGTTTAGTGAGGACTAACCGTAACCCTAATATTTATCAATCTGCCATTGTAAAGAGTTCCCAACAAATGTATTCCTGTTTGAGTTATGTTTGCCAAAATGTTTTCACTGGTTCAGGAAATTACTAAGAATTTTATTTTTTTAAATGAAACTATATATTTGTGAGCCATTTAATATCTTCAGTATGAACCAATGGGCTTTGGGGTGAGTGCTACAGACATAGTAGGAAAGTCAGAATTGAGAGACAGACTGTAGCTGTGACAGACTGTAGCTGTTAGTGAGGACGATGAGGTCATGTCTACTATATATGTTTTTTGGGATTTGATAGTTTTAGCAACCTGGGGGTTTTCTATATAGTAAGGAAATGCACATGGTGCATACTGAATTGCATAATTTCAGTTATTTTAGAGTCAGTATATGAAAATTTGACTTCAAATTTGATTCACTACTTCCCAACCAGGATTTATTCTCACTCCTTACAAATAATACTGTGGCTTGTTCAGTGATACACTTGTTCAGTGATTTCCTAGCATTGGTTTTGGAGTTGTCAGAGACGACGTCTCAGTATCTGCTCTTTTCACGTTTTCAAAATACACTTCCAACGTAGGTTTATGTAGTTTTAGGTATGCATGGTTTGTTAGGTAAAATAACTATGTTTTATTACGGAATTGTTGTTAGTTAAGTTCGGAAGTTACGTAACAAAACTACGGTAAACTAAGTCAATGTTGACTTGGTTTCACTTGGGGCCATGACCAACGGTCTCCTGGAAGTCCTGGGTTTTTTGATCTGTAAATGGGTTTACGTCTCATACGGACGCTAAAGGGTCGCTGTGTCAAGGAGAAACTGCATCTAGACTTTTGCGATATTAAACTGTCTATTGAAAATAATTGGACAGGATTTGAGGATTTGAGACCTACACTTTTCTAAAATCCTGTCTAGAGCTTTGATTAAGAGACAAGCTCACAACAATTATGGTATTAGTTCACAGTGAGAAAAAATGACAAGATACAATATTTGTAGATTGTTAATGTTGATTTCCCCATGGAACTGGGGCTCCCCCACTTTCACAGTTGTGTAGGTTCTCAGTTACAGGTCAGTTAACGCTGATGGAGAGATCTACTGAGTTTACTCTAGTTGCCGGATGTTATTGTCTGCTGCTGTCTCCCTCTGATGCCATCTAGCCCTGTTCATGGTGTTCCTGCATTTAATGGGATTTCTGATGTGCTAATTGGAGACTATAAGGGTTTTATGGCTTGTTTTTGTTTTTCTCCCCTTTGGGCGCAGTAAAAATAGAATGGACTTTAAAGCAACTTTCCACCCTCTGCCCATCAGGCATCAAGGAGCAGAGCATTGCCAAGAACAATAGGAGGATGCTTTGCAAGACAAGAGAAACTCAAAGGATTAAGAGAAAATCTGGAACAGATCTCTTGAAAATGATATTAGCTTCACAAAAGATACACAAGAGTGTGACATAATTATTTTGGTAAATCTTTATTCAAGCCTTCAGTATCCAGAAATTGTATATTGAGTTGTAAATAGCTTCTTTCCTTTGGGCTTTTAAAAAAAAAAAAAAAAAACAGTGGGGGGAAACCCAAAGTCCATGCCCTTTTGACCTGGGAGAGAATGCATAGGGGATGGGAGTGCAGAATGCCCCTTGAAGGGATGTAAGGACAGAGTACTTTATGTATGAGGAACAAAGGAAGAGAAGAAGGCAGAATGATCAGAGCTGTGGTTGCTGCTGCAGGATGCGCTGCATGCTACCTGCTGCTTCTCCCCGGGCCTCTCTGCCTTGTTTCCAGTCTATTCTCATGCCAGGGAAGAGTCAAAAACACAACCTGGATGTATAGAAAGGACAGTTAGAGGTATATCATGTTAATCTCATCTGGAGCAGGTAGATGGCCTACAGGTTTATAATTAGTTCAGTACTTGGAAAGAACGCTCACCTTGTTCATGAGGTACACTGATGTGAGCGTGAATGCAGACAAAGCCATCATCTTTTATTCAGTTCATCTTAAAGTCTCTTAAGATTATGTTCATTTGCAATTATTCTGCATTGCTGGTTATAGATTAGTGAACACCAGTTTGTGTCCCTTCTCAGCCCAGCAGTCCATTTTGCATATTTTTTGAAGGATGCACTGATTACCAAAGTTTGTGCCTTTGCCCAAGTATCACCTGTAAATCCAAAAAGTTGACTCCCTCCTTACTGTTATAACATTAACAAGGTTGAATTTAAGGAAGTATCACAGTTGGGCAGCGAGTACATTTGGAGGTGCACCCTGTCTGCCACAACATACAATTATACTCTACTCATTTCCCCTGCCAGAACATTTTGGTGGAACCATAACTGATGCCCGGATTATGCTCGCTGGCGAAGTTTTTACCAACTCAGGAAATGGCTCTTGGTGTGGTGGTCGAGGAGGATGGTTTACCATACAAAGCTTAATTTGGAGGCCAGGGTTTACGTGCTTTAACCCACAGGCTAGGACGGTAAACACAATCATGTCATAATCAGAATCAGAATCAGAATCATAACCGTTTATTGCCATGGTATGTTGAACATACAAGGAATTTGACATGACGGGAGGTGCATAACATTTAACAATCAACAACAATCAACACAGTGCAAAGTAGAAACATTAAAATTTACAGTAAAATATAAAATAAAGTAAAATATAAAATAAAGTAAAATATAAAATAAAGTGCACAAACGAACAGATAACAGTACTATAAACAAGTGAGATGTAATTAGATCACGTAGGCCATCATGTTCTTTTTTTAAAAACTGACGACTATTTTAAGTACGTTTATGACTTTTATTCAAAATCAACTTCACACGACAGCATGTAGCAGTAGGCTAACTTAACCATGATTAGCTCCACTCGGACACAGGTGCCGTGTGAGCCCTGAACTCTGATGCGTGATGATATAGGACATCACTTTGAACTTAGATTACACCATAGGGGCTACACTTCCAGGAAGAAGATGTGACAAAGACAAATAAATATAAGTTGACTAAAAAGACATGAAGGAGAACATAAAGACAAAAGGGTGAGCTGAAAAGGCCAGAATTTAAAAGAAATGTGAATAAGAAGGTTGTGGAGAAATAGTGCACTATACCCGATTTGCATAGTAAAGCTATAATTATATATCTCCAGTATCAAAGGTTGTGGAGTGGGCCGGTCTGAGGCATGAAACTCCTGGGCTGGGGTGCGCCCGAGGTACAAAGGCTGTCTCCTCACTCTCCTCACTGTCCACTAGAGGAAAATGAGTCCAGCCCTGAGCAGTGGGATGTCACTAATAATGATTCCGTAGTCTGATGAAACCTTTTAAAATCTACTGTCATTTGGGAACACTAAAGTGGTGGTGATGTGGCTTCCAGCCCTATCTAACCACAGGTACATGATCCATACAATGTGTGGCTGGTGGTTTGGGTCATGGCTGCCTCTTCCTCTGGAAGCTCTGAGGTTTTGTTTGTTGCCTTGTAAGCTTGTGTGATATGCAGAGAGGGCTCTCCTGGACAGCTCAACCCCCAGGGTGACTGCTGTTGACCACAGGGAAAGGGGCTGAGCTCTCCAAGGAATGTTTGAAAGGGGGAGGACAATAATAAGGCTTGAAATGTCCATCACAAAGACCCAAATAAAACAAAAGACAGTGGGAGTGACTCAAAAATATCCTGCACACTCTTGTTGAGAAATGGAATGTGAGGAACAGGATGTGTTGCATCTTTTGGTCACATCCAGAGCCTGGAGTCAAGAGTCAGGAATGTGGGGAGGTGGAGGTGTTGACATGCCAATGACATCACAGCTTCACTGAGATTGTGGGCTAATGTCCCTTTAGCATCTGTCATGTTGTGGATGTCAGACTTTTTTTTTTTTTTAAAGGGAGGGAAGAGTAAGAGATAAATGCTGGATGTGGAGGGAAAGGAAAGTACACATTGTTGTGTCAGCTCTTACAGGAAATAATACATTATTTACTTGAAAACAAATGACCAAAATTGTATGTACTGCCAATTTTGCATATTTATCTCTTACAGGGTCAGTTCAACTGGATTTCAAAATAATTATTTCCTCACTTATTCTTAGAGGCATCTATGCATGCAAATAGTTTAGCTTTTGAGATCCGTTTCCAGCCTAATAAAATGGAGGTGAATGGAATTTAATTTTGTGCTGCTCATAGCACATAATTACATTTGAAACATTTACATTTTCTTCTGGAAAGATATGTTGCTGTTGAATTTTGATTAATGTTATTTTTCAATGCTGTGAGCATCACAAACTAAATTCTATTCACCTCCAGATTTGAGTGAGAATTAATATATTTTTATCATAATTAAATCCTTTAAAACCAAATAAAGGATGGTTTGTAGACAGCAGGCTTGTCAGCTTTTAGCACAATATCGAGCCCTGTTTGCCTGAATGGTAAATACCTATATTTATGTACTCTAGTCATCTACGATCTATGTTAAACACTTAACCTTCAATGTGATGCATTACCTAATAGTGAAAAGCAAATGGTCTCATTCACTTCAGCATCCCCAGAAATCTTCTTCATTCAACACTTGCTTGTGCAACTTTTCAGTGAAATACTGGCCACTGCAGGTAGAATTGTTCAAATGGTACTTTAACAACTTTCAAAAGTTGCATCTCCCCATCAAGAGCCTATAATTACCATGTTCAACTTCTTCACACGGAGGATTCTTCATGTCTTGGAAAGCTTCCAGACTACTCTATTTAGAGCTGTGTATCATGTCTAATAAGGGGAGGAGCCCCAAGGTGTCACCGATGATGGATCAGGCCCCGCTGAGCTCATTAGACAGGCTGCGCTGGCTTTGCATCACTGATGCAGCTGGGAGAGCTATAATCAGTTCTGCTAGCCGCTCTGCACTTCGTCTTATGGACACGTCATCCAAAGACTACTTCACCCAGTGCTAAGAGCCCCTGAGCTACAAAGAGCAGAGAATGGGGAGGCAGCATGAGAGGAAATTAAAGTAAAATTATATCCAACACACAGTAATCACCACATGGACAAGCATGAATTACATATGCATTAATACATTGATGGTAAATTAAAATGAAAATAAGTATTAAATCATAAAATAAAGGAATATAAATAATACACAGTAATGCAGTGGCGGAGGAGACTGGACGGTCTGGTATACATATACTGTACATACAAAATGATCAGCCCTGTGGCAAAGCTTTAATCTGTAACTTTTTGTCAGCCACAATAATATTAAGTAAGATATTTCAATTGAATATGTGCTTCAGTTTCATCTCCTAAAAAGCTTTCATTGTCAAACCTAGAAAATTTTGCAAAGTAAGATAAAAATATCTGCCGTATTCCTAATCTCAATGGCTCCAAAATGCTTTGAATGTAGTAAGTAACATAATATATAAGAAAAAAAGCAATTAAGGCTGAGTTGCATTGACCTAAATAGTATAAAGAGGTAGTCTACAACAACAAAGGCAGAACAAAGTTGTGCGTATGTGAGAAGCAGATGTAGAAGGCCCTAGAAAGGACAAGAAGACTCTTCATATCTTAAGGTGCTTTTTTTCTGTGTGTTTTCTTCTTAGCCCCGGGGCAATACTCCAGCCATCCCTGCAGTAATGCCCACCCCTCCATCTACCCCCCCTCACCGACACTGCAGACACTGGCAGGAACAGTGGATTGGGGGCGGAGGGGTTGGTGGGGGTGAAGGGTAGGCATGGGAGACTTGCACGGGTGTATGACTTTGAGACTGCACCGTCACACACTGGTTAGATTGGCTGAGTTGCCGGGGAACAGTCAGTAGCGATTAGTGTAGCAGAGGATCTGCCCTGCGGCTCTACCCTCTCCGGAGCAGAAGAAAGAAGGATGAGGAGAGGAGAGGAGGTGGACCAGGGTGGGGGTTGCAGGGGTGAACAGCATGCCTTCCTCAGATATAATAAGGTCTTTCTTTCTTTCCATTCTTAACTTTTTATGATGCTTTTTGTTACCAAATATGAACTGTAGCTTTATGATCTGATGATGAAAAATACTACAGTACCACCCAAATATGAAACTCAAGTCCTTGTTTATTATTGAGGCCGCTTTTTGATTTATGTTATTATATATTGAATGGACTTGCCCATTTTCTTTAAGCGATAGAGATGCACCAGTCTCATCACTGAAAAATGGTATTGAAAAATAATTTGGTCATCAAATATCTTTTAATATGTTGATGTGAATTTTTCTAGAATACTAAAGCCTGATAATCAGACTGAATTGCCATTTAGTTTTGTCTTCATTCGGTCAACTCTACATTGTGTTCATCTTAGCTTATTCCTTGTTGGGAGTTGAAGATGAAGTTCTTTTGTTTTGCCCTTACCCATGAGGTTGCTAGAAGCTGTTAATGTTTTTCAAGATGATCAAACAAATGTGATGATTTAAAAGTTGCTAGTCTCTGTAGCTAGGTAGCTTGTGAGGTACGTAGGAATATGACATCTCAATCTCGAACTTTCCACCACCTGAGGGAATATTTGCCCAGAAATAAAGTTACTTAAACGACAGGCTGTAGGAGAGGTGGAGGACAAAACAACTTAAAGAGTAGTGGACAGAGGCATTTTGAACCCTGTACCCTGCCCATGACTCAGAGCTGGACACCATCCGTCAAAACTCTCACAACCCCCATAGCCCACGACCCTAGAACACATCCTATTTAATGTCAATATTCATTAGCTGAAATATTTATTCATGAATATGGCTCATATAGGCGTGTTTGATTGATGCATCTCTAAAAACAAAAAGACATGCTAGGGCAAATCTTAAGAAAAGTAGGGTTCCTGTCCCGCCTCAGGGGAGGAGTCTCTCAGATGCATTATTCACATGCCCTCCAGGCAAGCTTTCAAGGCTTCTCTGCCTCGAGGGCAAGAAAAATAACCACCACTGTTAAAAGTAAATCATCTCGGCTGATGCACAATTAATGGCTGAGAGGGAGAGGGAGCGGGGTGCCCCTTGTGATACAAGATGGAGTGAGTTAGCTAGCAGGAGCGGAAATCTCAGCTTAAAAGAAGTCCCCTGCCTTGATCCACGTCAGCTTCCTGCTGAAATCAAACAAGGATGCTGCTAATGGCAGGATCCATAGCCGGCATGAAATCTGACACTGAAGTTGTCAGTCGGGTGTTGTGTGTGGAGGGACCTGGTCCATCAGTGGACATATGATGGACCACTGATACCCCCATATTATACCTCAATACCCCAAATTAACCCCTTGTTTCGGACTTCAAACAGCACAAGGTTTGATGTTATTGGGTTCATACTTCTGCACAGGATAGACTTTTGTTGTTTCCTTCTTTTATATATAGGGAAATTATTAGTTAAGAAAAGGTCACATATAAATATCAGTACATTGGACTGACTCCGACTGCAGTATGAACGGTCATTATTTTATGGCAGGCGCACAACTCCCACAGTCATTACCTCATGTCAAATGCGTGGCTTAGATTGAATTAATAGCTCTTGGTTTTATTGAGCTCCCACACTACAAAATCCTCTTCATTATCCAATCGCTGAGGAGTCAAGCAGAGGTGAGAGGAAAAATCTTGTGCTGCTGTTCCACAGAGGAGTGAAATCTTCCTCTGTCAGCCCTTTCGCAACATGATTTTGTGAAGGTGATAGGACCAAATTAAAGCTTTCTCGTAACGGGACTCCTCTTGTCTCGCAGGAGACGCCCTCGACAACAGCTTGGCATCACCGGGCACAGGAGACGAGGATGACCAGGACAAGAAGAGGCAGAAGAAACGAGGCATCTTCCCCAAAGTAGCCACAAATATAATGAGAGCGTGGCTCTTCCAGCACCTTACGGTAAGGGAATCTAGCTGTGGCATTGTATAGATTTCAAACACAAAACTCAGTCTTAACAGCAGCCCTACATAGATTTGCCTTAATGCTAGAAATAAATGTTATCTAACCCCAGCTCCTCAATCAGCCAACATCTAGGAATGAGCCTTGGCTAGATTTCCCGAAGGCATCCTAAAAGTTCTGTTCTGTTCCATTGTTAGACAACAAAGCATAGACATACTCACATCTAAATTTCCTTCTTGAAATAGTAGTCCACAGTTTGTACAGAAATCTATATCAGGAGCCTTTCGATTAGAATTAGCAGCAGTATTTAAGAGTTTTGTAAGAGGAGAGCTTTACCTTTTATCCAAGGTCCAAAAGATACCACCGCCGCTGCCGCTACCACAGTTGTTCTACCTCTCAGTTATTCAATTTGTAAAAGGCCCATACAAGTCCTGTACTCGGAGTAATCCCCTCTTTTCCAAAGCCCACCTTTAGATTTTCCAGATGACAAAGGAGGATAATTGAATTATCCCCTCTCTGTTCCCCATTCCCTTTCAGGCCTAATTTGTTAAGCACAAGTGTTTGCCATGGCAGGATGTGCCTATGAAAAGTGTGCAAAGGGACTTTGGCCTCTGAAAGGCCTATTGCAACACCCAAGCGATCAAGCATTCATCAGTCTTTAGGGTGTGAAAAGAGCGGGATTATGTTTTGTCAGACGTTGCAGTGTGAGGCCCGCGGTTGGAAGGCCGTTAGGGGGGCTGTTTCTGTCCACCACTAGCCGTAGTCTCCTGCTTTTGTTGTCCATTCTGAAGACCCTTAAAAGATCCCCTCTGAGGAAGCTGTAGAGAAAGCAGCTGTGAATGGTTTCGATTCATTATATTATTCATTATCGGCCTATTAGCCTGGTCGTAACTGTTGGTTTCCATGCAACCTTGCATTTATCCACATTCAATGATTACTGCCAAAGAGTTTGGGGCGCAAACCTGGAATCCACTGAAGGTCACTGGTGTTGTGTCAAAGTCAGCTAAAGTCTGATTGTGTTCTCAGTTGAGATAGAAGAATGAATTGCCTGTCTATATGTAACGGACAAGCATCTATGACAACTTAATTATCCCCCACAATTTAACAAAAACTTATTCTCCTTGCTCCTAACAAAGTTTTTTGTTCCAATGTGTTAAACCCTACAGCAGGTGTATAACCCAACTGTCGAATTTTTGCCTCAGAAGTCTCACCCCTTCTTTTCATGATCAGACATATTCCAGAATAAGCAGGCATTGATCTCCATTCCTGACAAATATCCATAAATCTGTTTAGACATTATGTACTAAAGAAAAACATTTTAGATCTTGCCTCATCAGTATAAAAGTAATCCAGTGGTTGTCTGTACCTCCATGGTTCAGGGCAAACGGGAACTGCTAGAAGTAAAATCTTTAGTCAAACATTGGAGGGGGCAATTGGATTGAAGGTGGAGCTCTCACAATTGAATGGAAGAGACATAAAGAATGCGAAGATGAGAAGTGATTTAAAACACCCGCGTGTGCATTTTGACCAAACCCACACAGATTACCAGGGCAGTTTGGTTAATGACAAACGATAGCAGAATATGAAAAGTACAATTATAGATTAGTATATAAGTATTTTAGTACATAAGTTCTAAAAATTTATTTATATTTATATATATCAATAAAATTGAACTTAACTTCATATCCACAGTCTATACTAAACAAGTTGTACTTTTCATGTTCTGTTATAGTTTATCATTAACTCCTTTGAACCTTTGCTCCATCTTAAGTCCACATTTATAAGATATATCTATCTATCTATAT